TGGCGCTCATGTTAGTGAAGTAATCTGATCAATTCATTTTATAAATTGGTCTGCAAGGCTAGCAGATCTAACTTCAAAGGTTCTTCCCCCTCCCCCCCAAGGTTTCTCCGTAGCTCTTGGATATTGGAGCCTGTCCTGGAATTCACTCTGTAGACTAGGCTGGCCTCAAACTCAGAACTCAGAGATCCACCTGCCTCTGCCTCCCCAATGCTGGGATTAAAGGCTTGTGCCAACAGTGCCTGGGTTCAAAAGATCTTTTAAAATTGGTGTGTGTGTGTGTGTGTGTGTGTGTGTGTCTGTGCATGTGCATGCTTTGCATGCTTGGTGCAAATGTAGAGATAAAAAATAACTTCAGGAGTTGGTTCTCTGCAATCCACCAATCAGGTACTAGGGAATCCAGTTCAGGTCATCAGGCCTGGCAGCTGAGCCATCTTGTAAACTATAGTTTTAGTAGTCTTAGGTCTTGCTCCCCCCCCCCCCAAGAGTTAGTAAGTTAGTGAAACAACTGTTTCAGTTAGTTGTTTTTTACATGTAAAATTCTATTATTTTCTTCTAGTTTTTTGAATTCAAGTTTACTTGGATTTTGGGAAGTAGTTAATTATGTTACCAGGATTCAGGCTGTCTTCTGTATAGAGATGTTTCCAGGAGACTCTGGATTTACACACTGACACATAGTAGCATTTCAGTGCTGGGATTAAAGGCATGTACCACTACACCATGCTGCCTTCTGAATATTTTTTAATCCACATTGGTACTGAGTCTGGGGCTATGCAGGTACCAATGGCTGATTTTGTTGTTTACTCATATAAGGCAAATGTAGATAACTGTAAAACATCTTAGTTGTTGAGTGTGGAGGCCTATACCTTTAATCCCAGCACTTGGGAGGCATATCTCTGATCTATAGAGATCTCTGAGGCCAGCCTGATCTACATACTGATTTCCAGGACAGCCAGGGCTATGTAGAATTCCTGTCTCAAAATTAGTGAATAAATAGAAAAACCTTAGGTCTTTGTCTGTAGGTATCTTTTCAGGACAGCCCCAGTAATAAGGTGGAAGGGCTTTCCTCACTTTTCCAGTTCACACATTTGTATAATCTGATGGTGTGTCTATATGCAGCACTGAGATTTGAATCTGGGGCCTTGGGTCTGCTAGTAAGTGTACTCAGCCCTTTTTTAGTCTATGAGAGATGAATGCAGTTCTGCCTAGCTTGTCCTTGCTTGAATTCTCCCTCCTCGTGTTCTTGATTTCACAGAGCTGCCTGCCACACATTTCCTCCCATGTGACACTTGTGTTTCCTTTTTATTTTTGAGAACGAGAAACTTCTTAAATATATGACAAGTGGCATTGAGCATTTTCCCCCATTTCCTAATACTGTTTAAGCTCATATACATATACATATACACCAATATGTGAGTAATAAAGGTTATGGTTGTTGCATGATAAAGATTTAGATTAAACTTTGCAAGCACTTGACATTTCTCTTCTCTTTTAAAAAAAATAAACCCATCCAGTCACTGAAAGAAAACCTTGAGAGGTGTTGGACTGTTACTGAAGCAGAGAAGGTTACCTTTGAAACTCAGAAGAAGAATCTTGCAGCAGAAAACCAGTATTTAAGAATCTCTCTGGAGAAGGAAGAGAAAGCCCAGTCTTCCCTGCAGGAGGAGTTACGGCAACTGAGGGAACAAATCAGATTGTTGGAGGATAAAGGCACAAGTACCCAGTTAGTTAGGGAGAACCAGGCTCTTCAGCAGGATTTAGAAGTGGAAAAACAGAAAACAAACAGTTTCCTTAATGAAAGGGAGACTCTGATAGAGGAAGCAAAGATGCTGAAGAGGGACCTGGAGATAGAGCGGCTCACAGCGATGGCTCTACGGGCAGAACTTGAGCAGTTAGGCCCTTGCCAGGCCCAGGCCCAGGCCCATGCAGATTCTCCCAGAGTGCAGACTGAAGAGAAGGAAGTTGTGCTGTTACAGGAGAGACTTGCGGAATTGGAGCAGAAGCTAACCTTCGAGCAGCAGCGCTCTGACTTGTGGGAAAAACTGTATGTTGAGGCGAAGGATCAAAATGGAAAGTTGGAGACCGAAGGGAGGAGGAGAGGAAGCCGTGGAAACCCCAGGGCTAAAAGCAAGTCAAAAGAGACATTTCTGGGGACAGTTAAGGAAACATTTGATGCTATGAAGAATTCTACCAAAGAGTTTGTGAGACATCATAAAGAAAAAATCAAGCAAGCGAAAGAAGCTGTGAAGGAAAATCTGAAGAAGTTCTCAGATTCAGTGAAATCCACTTTCCGACATTTCAAAGACACCACCAAGAATATCTTTGATGAAAAGGGCAGTAAGAGATTCAGGCCTTCGAAAGAAGCAGCTGACAAGCCAAGAACAGCTCATGGTTATTCTTCATATTCCCTGCACGAGGCACTGAACCAAAACCAGAATTGCAGAGGATCTTCTGCACAGAGTGAGGGAGGGAGAGAAAAGCCTAGTCACACAAAAGAAAGTAGAAAAAAGGCAAATTCAGATACGTACAAGGCCAAGTTTGACTGCAGGGACACCCATTCCACCAGAAGGGTTTTTTCTGGCATGTTTGAATGTGCCGGAAAAGAATCTGTTAGCTCTGTTAACACAGCAAGTCCTATCAGGATAAATGACTTCAGACAGCTGATTCAGTGGTACTTACTGAATGAACTGGATACTTTCCACCACTGGGAAGAGCTGGATCAGTTCATCAGTCCATTTTTCCCAAATGGTGTCTTTAGACACGATCAGAAGCTCTTTGCCGACTTTGTTGATGCAGTGAAAAGTTACCTTAAGGGAATAATGGAGTACCAAGTAGAGGATGACAATTTGGAGAAGTTGGATCAATACATATATAGACACTTTGGGCACATTTTTGCCCTTCCGTTTGGACCCAGGTCGGTTTACATAAAACCATGTTACTATAATAGCTTCTAACAGTGGTACATTGCATAGTGGGTTTTTGTTTTTTTGGTTTTTTTTTTTTTTTTTGTTTTATATCACTGAGCTTCTTGGAAGGCTACTGTTTGTAAGAGGTACGCTTTGGAGCCTGTCCTGGAACTAGCTCTATAGACCAGGTTGGCCTTGAACTCAGAGATCTTGCCTGCCTCTGCTTCTGCCTCCTGAGTGCTGGGACTAAAGGCGTGCGCCACCAACGCCCGGCATGTAAGAGGCAAGCTTTAATGTCACTGAAAATCAGAATAAATTGAAAGACAGTTTTAAAATTTAACTATTGCAAACTTAAAAAAACAAATCCATGTATTATGTAATCACTTAGGTTGAACAAATGGTTGGATTTCTACCTTAAACATAGTTCAGTTCAATATTAACTTATTGGTTTCTCTCAGTACAGTTCATGTAACTAAGTAAAATTATTGCCCTTTAATCTTTGACTTAGGAAGCTAGAGACATATTTTAATGTGCAGTTCAGATCATGTGGACCTGCCACATGTGTAATCATTGTTGGTTTTATGTGACAGTTTAAGAGTAGTACTAATTGAAGGGTTACTACAGGGAAGAGTGATGCTCAGGATCCACAATGCCCCATAATGTTCTTCAAAACTGTATCTATGGTCCTTCAGCTTTTTATTCTGTAACTGCAAATATGTGGTATTTACCTCTGAGAGTCACACAGTCCCATCTTCATGAATAAATGCAATGTGCCTATAAAATAATGAGGCTGGCTTCTGATGTCTTAGTTCCTGAAGCAGGCAGGTGTCTAGTGCTGTGATGAGCAGGGTTAGGAGGCTGCTTTGAGGAAAAATGAGCAACCCCTTGCTCTTTAGGAGTTAGGTGTGCACTGGTGGTGTGAAGATGTAGGGGCCTCGGGCGGTCTGGAGATGGTTGGAAGAGCTTCATGATTGAAATGACCTTGCATCTAAACTTGTTTTGAAAGTAGCTTTTGGAAGAGAAGTGAGAGTACATGGATAGGGGAGGGCATCTCACTGGAATGGAAGTTCATTTGCAAAGGTGTGGAGAAATGGAGACCTTCTTTACTTACAGAAACAGGTGGGCTCGGGGTGAATCAGGAAAGTCTGTTTTGTCCTCAGGTAACTGTCTTGTGAGAGATGGAGACTTTCTGAAGGATTTTGCCATGGGGTGGAATTGTGTCTAGCCTCTTAGGTGACTGGCATCAGCCAGGAAAGTTGATTGGCAAGCTGTGACACCAGCTGTGGTGATCTGTACTTGAGAAGCTGAGGAGGTGTTGGGAGGAGATGATACACTTAAAACAGTTGTATCTTTTGTAAGTGGAGTTGAAAGGAAGTAATTTGCAATATATCTGGAAAGACTTCATATATATATCTGGATATTGATATTCAGAGACTACAAAAAAAGGTACTAAGCAGAGGATCCAGAAGTGAATTGGTTTGGGGGAGGGGGGGTTCCTGTTGATCCTTATTTGGAGAGGATGGGTTGGCGGTTACTTGCCCAGCAATCTTTACTCAGTCTCACTCCAAAGCCAGTCCCCATTGGAGATCTAGTGCAGGACATGACACCAACAGGTATCCCAGTTAGAGAAGGCTAAGCAAGAAAGACTGCAGAATGACAGCACAAGAATCCAGATGTGAGTCAGTGCTTAGAGCTGAGGACTGCAGGGCAGTTGACATGGTCTTTGTGTGAAGCAATGGAGAAGCCTGGTGTTGGAGTGTTAGGAAAGTTAAGAGACAGCTTTGCTTTGCAAGATGTGTATTCAGTTGAGGGATAAAGCCAATGGAGATGAGACTTATTTAAAAAACTGGAAATATCTCATTATTTTATTGTCACATTCTTGTTCCTCATCACTTGTTTGGTTTCCCCTTCTAGCCAGCACAGGTGTATTTATGTCTGTCTATTTTTTTCTCTTGTTGAAAAGTAGTGATTCCCCTCTTTCTTGGTATTACAATAGAACCATATTTTATATTTTTACCTTTTGGCAGTGTTCAGATAGTAGATTAATGGAGAAAAACATTAAGTTAGTTTTACTTTTAGAAAACTGAACTCTAACACAGATAAAAAATGTGTTTACTACTTTCAGTCGACCTGATAAAAAGCAACAACGTATGGTAAATATTGAAAACTCCAGGCACCGAAAACAAGAGCAGAAGCACCTTCATCCACAGCCTTATCAGAGGGAAGGTAAATGGCAAAAACACAGTCGCGCTAACGGAAGACACACGGCAAACCTTGAGATAGAATTGGGGCAGTTACCTTTTGACCCTAAATACTGATTCATGATTACATTAGGAGATGCTTTCTACTTTGTTTGGTGTTGAAATTAAGATGAAATCCTCAAGACAACTGTCTTTTCATTTCCAAAAGACTGGTTTGATGGCTTTCTATTGCACAAAAGCAAAGCTTACTAACTTGCATTTCCCAGTAGCTTGGGTTTGTTAATCACCGCCCCCAAATGATAATTTTATTAATGAAGTTGGGCATGAAACACTCTGCATGAAACAGGGCTTGGTTTGAGTAGGTGAGCTCAGAGCGAGCACAGCTCGTGCAGGGCAGTAAGTGCCGTCGTGAGGTGCAGTATGGCTTGAGTGAGCTGGGACTCCCTTCTAACCCTTCTACTCTCATGCTTTTGTCTCTCTGGGGGATCAAGTGCCCGTTGGCTTGTGAAGAGCTTGCTGACTTGTTTTTGTGATCGCTCTTGTACACCTGAACGCTATGGAAGAACAATAAACTGCACCATGAGGAAAACGAAAGGTCTCTTTCAAATCTGGCGTCGCTTTGGTGTTTTCTCAGAGTACAGTGTATGGTACAGCTGTCCCCCAGTGGCTTCCTCTTCATTTCACGAGTCACCTGGTTTCCCTCAGTTATGCCAACTTCTCTGCAGACAGACGTCCTCATTGTTCAGTTCCTTCCTGTGTTGACTCTGCTGGTTAACCTTCGTTCGTAGACATGTATGTGACTTCCAATTCGACCCTCTGGCCAATGAGTATGGAAGAAAATAGCAGTCCTCTCATAGCTCCCTGAAGTGAGGAAGGCATGGATCTCCTACAAGTAAATAAAGACATGTTTGCCAAGTGCGGTTTCAAAGAATTGTAGAGTTGCCAATTATAATTTATCCTTTTTTCTTCATGGATTCATGTAAGATTTTTCAGGACATAGATAATGAATTACAGAAGTAAGACTGATTTTTACTGGGGAAAGGCCAATTATGGAACATGGGGGCTGCAATCACTAGATTTTGTCACCTTAACTAGATTAAGAAACAATTGGGGATGGGGTGGGGAGGTAAGCAGTGGTGGCCCATGCCTTTAATCCCAGCACTCCAGAGGCAGAAACAGGTAAATCTTTGGTCTACAAAGCTACACAGAGAAACCCTGAGGAGTGGGCAGAGGAGGTGGCTGTTTTCACATGGTTACTGACCAGGCATGAGGATCTGCACCCACATAGAAAGCTGGGCATGGTAGCTGGGTGTGGTGGCACAGCACATGTCTTTAGCCCTACCTAGCACTTGGGAGGCAGAGGTACATGGATTTCCATAAGTTGCAGGTCAGCCAGGGCTACCCAGTGAGACCCTGTCTCAAAAGTAACCAGGCATGGTGGCACACGCCTGTAGCTGTAACACTGGGTCATTGGAGTTGGAGCAGAGATAGGATTCTGGAGGCTGCTGGCAAGCCAGAGTAGTTATGCTTCAGGTTCAGTGAGAAACCAGGCTCAAAAAATGAGGTGGACAGAGACAGGAGAAGGCATCAACTTGGTCGTCTGGCCTTTGCACGTGTGTATACAGGAATGTGAATATACACCGAAGAAACAAGACAGGGCAGCAATGAAGCACATTTGTTGAGTTTATGTCTTTGAGGGAACGCCTGCCCTGAATGTGGGCGGCACATTCCTGTGGGCTCTGGTCCAGTCTGGATAAAGGAAAGGAGAGAGCAAACTGAACCAGGACACTTCCCCCCCTTTTTAGATGCTGTTCCATAGACCAGGCAGGCTCACGTTCCTCCGCTGTAGCTGCAACTGCTAAGTTGCTCCCACCCAGCACCATGGCTCCTGCCACAATGGGACAGTGTCCTGAACCTGAGCCAGAATAATAAATCCTGTCTCCTTAAGTTGGTATTTGTCAGGTGTTTGGTCACAGCCATTAGAGGAGTAACTCATAAAGGGGAAGAAAAGGATCGGTGAAGCAGATTGTTGCCAATTGTTAAGATGCTGAGTTGACTATTTCAAGTGGACGTACCTTCTCCAGAACACTGAAGGTGACCAGGTGAGTGGGCAGTGATGCATTGCTTCCAAACTCTTGTTGTAACCAGCTTAAGGGATTTAGGTAGAACATATCTGCTTCATCAAGATACTGAGTTTTTCCAGTCAAGTCTGGGGGACACTGGAGAAACCGCATGGACAGTGGGCAGTGAACATGGCTGTGTAGAGAGGTCAAAATAGTTAAGCGCTCCACACTTCTGTATTGTTTCAGGCTGATTTTGGAGCGTGGGGGACCTCAGGCAGAACTGCCTGCCTTACCTGTAGTAAGGAGTGGAGTGGCAAGGCATCATGATGAGCACTGAGATGGCAGCTGGGTCAGGACCTCTGGGGCAGGCTTGCTGAATGTGACTCATGACATCCAGAGTGCCTCTCTGATGAACCAGGCCAGTGTAGAGTGCCAGCAGCACATTTGACAAAAGCAGGAAACTCAGAGCTGCCTTCCGCCATGCTTTCAGGTGGGCCAGTGAGTACCCTGCATGGAGATGGGTGGAAGGAGGTGGAACATGACAGTTTGCTTTTCTGTCACCAGATAATTCATTTGTATGTGATGTTCCACGAAAACGGTATAAGCCATGGTATTGTGTGGCAAATAATGGGTCAACCTCTCGGGGCACTCATCGCCATTGTACTCTCAGGTAGGGACTAGCCTTTTTTAGGGAGTCAATGGTGTGGTGTGGTGTGTGTGTGTGTATGTGGGGGGGGGGGGTAATGGCTGTCCAGTCTTAACTTGGCAGCCAAACAGTCAGAGGGCATCTGACATCCTAAGGGGATTTCTGAAATTTAAATGATGCCAAGTACAGTTGGAAGGACACAGTTACATGGCTAAGCTGGACTAAGATCCATGATTTTCTTAGTGAGCAGCACTGCGTGTATGGCTATACCCAGTTAGATCCCACCACCCGTAGGTCTTTCAGTTGCATTTAATATGGTGCAGTTCTCATAAACATCACTCCAGGTGCCTACTTTGCTCCTGTTACCTGGCTCTAAAAAAAGATGCTTCTGAGTGTGATGCTGGGATGTAGCTAAGTACCAGGATGCTTGTCTGGCTTCCATCTCATGCACAAGGTACAAACCACTCTATGTAAGTTAGTTCTTTGTATGTATGTGGGTTTTGTGTTTTGAGATGGGGTTTTACTATGTATCCCAGGCTGGCCTCAAACTAAAGATCCTCATGCCTCAACCTCTCAAATACTGGGATTACAGTCATGTACTACTGTGCTGATACATGTACTAGTAAGCTTACTATTCAAAGGTTGTAGGTTTTGGTGTGTGATAAGACAATTGGCATTCTCCAGCACCAATTATCAGGGTGTTCACACAGTGGAGAGGGTGGGAAAAGCTTAGCCTTCACTTAATAATTCTATCTCCTGTGCTGAACAGTAACAAGAACTCCTACAAAAGAAACAAAACAAACAAAAACCCAAGATCACTGGGCAGGAGATCCCAGCACTCCTGAGGCAGAGGCAGTCTGATCTCTTGAGTTCAAGTCCAGCCAGAACAAGTTCCAGGATAGCTAGGGCTACACAGATAAACCCTGTCTGGACAAAACAAACACTCCCAAGGTCAAGGGAAAATGCCTAGTATTTTTTCTAGTATGTTCTGCCACGTAGAAATACATGTTAACGTTTACATTTTTAGACACTGATGGGAAGGCTGTTAGTTCAGGTGTTTACATGAGTAAAGAAAGGGTACAGTAGTTGGAGAACTAGTATGGGAAGGATATGGCTGAACTGTGTCTAAACCTGAGTCATCGCCACAGTCATAGGTACCAGGAAGTTCAGACTGCTGCTCTGTTAAGGAAATCAAGCTATATTTTCACTGACCACAAGTCAGTACTAAATCCTACAAGAAAGATCTTGTAGTGGAACTGTGAACATCAGACACCAAAATTAACTAAGAATACACAGGGTGTGAGGTAGCACATAGCAGTAATCCCAGCTAATAGGAGACCTAGGCAAGAGGGTTACCAGTTCAAGGCTAGTCTGGGCCTTCATCAAGTTGAAGCAGTTGCTTTCAGGGATGAGGACTGGTATGTAACTTTGGTTTCTTTTGCTTCTACCTCCCGAGTGGAACAAGTGAAAGGATTACAAGTGTGGTTTTTTGTTTGTTTGTTTGTTTTTTGTATTGCTTTGTTTTGTTTTTCCCTTGAGACACTCTCTTGCCATGTATGTAACCCAGGTTGGCCTAACCCTGCAATCCTCTGGCCTTGGCTGCTAGAGTGCTGGAATGCAGACCAGTGCCAGTTTCCCTGGCTTGTTGGCTTTAGAACACAGAGTCCGTCTTGAAGCAGATAGGCAGATCTGAACTCAGAACCTGTGCTCTGGCAGTGGGAAGCAAGGTCTCTACTGGCCAGGAATAAACCAGCCAACACCTAGTACTTGCTGGTAGTGCATCAACACAGTGCATCTCAGCATATCCACCTTGGGCAATAGCAATTCCCAGCTACTGATAAGAAAGCAGGATACAGGGCACACCATAAGGAACTTGTTAAGCAGACATAGTCTTAAGGGACTGAGAGGCATTCTGGCTAGGTTAAGTGTTTATAGAGGGGAAAAAAAAAAACCTTGCTGTTTTACCATCTCTTGAATCTGGCCTGGCTCTTGATTTGCTATGATCCAGAGACTAGTGGAAGGCTCTGCAGATTCCAGGCCCAGGCCTCCTCCCCTCCCACTCTTCCCTTGGAACTCTGAAAACAGCATTTAAGAAGCTCCACCTGACCCACTGGACAGTGACAGGACTCAGGAGCTAATGTGTTCAGTCTATAGTTAGCCTGGTCCCACACATGTAGAGCCCTTTCTCCATCCAGTGCTTTGTCTGGTTGGTGTGAGCAAGCCCGGCTGAGATGTGGCTTGTAAAAATAAATGGCATTAAAAGTCATTGATTATGAAGCAGTGGCTGACAGTTACATTTACATGAAGTCACGTTAAAATAGGCCACAAGAACAGAATAAGGCTTAGATTTTTAAAATAGGCCACAAGAACAGAATTAGGCTTAGATTTGAAGTGTTTAGGAAAGACTTGATAGTTCTAAGGAAAGCTGTGCATGGTACATCAAGTCCAGCATCCCATCACTGGTGGGGATGGATGAGAAAGTGAGATTGCTACATGTACGTTTCAGGCCAGCCAGACTCTGTCTTATCCCCTGTCCCTGGCACAAAAAAAAAAAAAAAAACCAAAAAACAGCTGGTGGATCCTTGTTTTATGTTACGTAACACAGGAGAAAGGATATTGAGAAGCTAAGCCAGGTGGCTCACATCTGTAGTCCTAGCACTAGGTAGGCTGAGGTAAGAGGATGGCCCTTGAGTCCAAGGCCAGCCAAATAATGAGGTCTAGGTCAGCCCTGCCTGCATAATCAGACAACTAACACCCACAGATGATTAGAGTACAAAAAGAAAACACTGCAGTCACAGTTTGTAATTAGCAAAGTTTTCATTTAGCCTAGTTGGAAATGAATGGCTCCTTGGGCCCTGACTGTCTCTTCGTGTTTTAAACTGTTTTGAGAGGATCTTGCTGTCAAAGCCCAGGCTGCTTGGCATGTTGCAGATCCTCCTGCCTTTTCCTCTCCAATGCAGGGATTACAGCAATGCTGCCATGCCTGGCTTATTTTAATGATTTCTGTCTTTTAGTGTATTCTGTATTAAACAAAACACTTACCACAGAACACCATGCACAATGGTAAAACTGGATAGATAAATCTGAATTCTTTGTGGCCCAACATGCTATAATAAAGGATATTAAGGCAAAACATTAATTTTACATGAGTCTGACAAATTAATGTATTTAAAATCAAATAAACACGATCCATTTGTCAAGTATCTGAGATTGAATTCTTCCTTTTTTTCTAAAGATAACCATTTCCTCTCCCTTCCTTCCTTCCTTCCTTCCTTCCTTCCTTCCTTCCTTCCTTCCTTCCGTCCTTCCTTCCTTTTTTGTTTTTGAGCCTATCCTAGAACTCACTCTGTAGATCAGGCTGGCTTTGAACTCAAAGAGATTATTCACCTGCCTCTACCTCCCGAGTGCTGGCATTAAAGGCGTGCACTACTATTGCTCAGCTAGATAATCATTTTTCAGTCATAGTTTATACTACCTCAAATTCTTCACACTTTGAGCTTTAGTCTGTGTTGCTGGCACTGCTGGCATTACACCATGCCAGGCTTCAGACTCAGGAATCATACTCCTTTTTAAATAGAATGTGATTATGGGTAAACGGTAATGTCAGATTGAAATTATAATGCATAATTACACTTAGGGAAAAAAATCACATTACCAATTCAATTAAGTAATACTACTCAAATTCAGAATACAGATATATTCATTAAAATATTTTTAAATATTTGTGTATGTGTGTTGGGGGCAGGGCGCTCACACCATAGGGGGCATTTGGAGGTCAGAGGACCAAGGACTTGTGGGAGTCCATTTCCTTCTGCTATGTTGACATGGCTTAGAACGCCAGGCATGGTGGTAGGAGCCTCCACCTGCTGAGCGATCTCACCAGTCCCTCGTTTTAATTTCACATACTTATGCAGGGATAAGCAACTCACTACATGATCACTACTACCTTCATCTGACATAATCTCACTGCTATGTCCTAAGAAAGTAAAAGCCTGCTTCTGAATAGTTTCATGATCTCTTAAGAGCATTTAAACATTCGCCTACTTGAACATAAAAGCCTTACCTGTACACCAGCAGTGTCCACAGCACGGTCAGCAGTAGTATGTGCAGCCTCCTTGGGACCAGGAAGCAGCCGTGAATGAAGAAGGGTAAGTGGGTTCCAAGGACAACTGGAAACCCTTGACTGAAATACCAGTGCCATGGATGAGAGCCATAAAAAGTCCCCAAATTCTGCAGCACGTTAAATTTCAAGAAATTAAATTGGACCAATGTCCACTGGTATAAGTGAAAGAAAAAAAGAAAGAAATGGGTTAGTGTTAAAACCTGATCTTGGACCTTAGAGTATTTGACAGAATCATGATTGTAAATAAGGATTTAAAAACCAGGCAGCAGTCTTACATTAGTAATTCTGATTAATGATACAAAGTCTTGTTAATAACTTGTCCCTGTCCTGTGTCCTGTCTGTCTACTATCCCCTCCCCCCCCACATACACAGGGTTGTCTGTGTATCCCTGGCTCTCTTGGAACCTGCTCTGTAGACCAGGTTTGTCTCAAACTCAGAGATCTACCTGCCTCTACATCCTGGAGTGCTGGGATTAAACTGTGCTACTACCACTCTGCTAATAATTTGTTTTTCTAAATACTTGATGTATCTTTTGTTAATCTGTAAAATGCTAGGTTTTAAGATTTAAGGTGAGTCTTACACATATTTTGGTACTGCAAGCTTTATATCCAATTAGAAGGTTTTTTTTTTTTCTTTTAATTGTGTGTGTGCATGAACACAGTTGTTCTTGGAGGTAAGAAGATCTCAGAATCCTTGGAGCTGGAATCCTAGGCAGTATGAGCAGTTCCCATATGGGCGCTGGGTCTCCAGCTTGGGCCCTCTGCAAGAACGGTATTTGCTTTCACTGATGAGCCACCTTTTCAGGTCCAACAGGATTTTAAAAACCAGCTGGGCCAGCCAGGCGGTGGCACACACCTGTAGTCCAGACACTCGGAGGCAGAGGCAGGTGGATCTCTTTAGTTTGAGGCCAGCCTGGGTTACAAAGTGTGTTCTAGGACAGCCAGGACTACACAGAGAAACCCTATCTCAACCCCTGCCCCAGAGAAAAAAAGAATCTATTCCATAAAATTGCTCTCTCATCTCCAAAAATACTCCTTGACATGCACACAAATAATTAAGAATTAAATGCTGTTTTTCCCCCCTCCAAGAAAGGATTTCTCTGTGTAGCTTTGGCTGTACTGGAACTTACTCTGTAGACCAGGCTGTGCTTACACTCATAGAGATCCACCTGCCTCTGCCTCCAAACTGCTGGGATTAAGGGCATGCACCACCATCGCCTAGCTAAGAAATGAATTCTTTAAAAAAAAAATTTTTTTAAAGCTGTTTTTCTTTAGACAATGTTTCATGATGTAGTCCTGATTGGCCTTGAAGTTGAGGTGTTTTTCCTGCCTTCTTCTGAGTCCGAGTCCTAGAATTAGAGCCATAAGCCACTACATCCTGCTTTAAAAATAGCTTAGAAGAGGGCATATGTGGCACTCATATTAACAGTTTTACTTTAGTGCCTTATGCTGCCTGGTAAAGTGCTCTCAGTTACAATCTGAATTTTAGCACAAAGCAGACACCAATGATGGCAACAGTAATCCTCTGGTAAGTATCTTAAACACTCACTGATAGCCAGAACTGTGAGCACTCTGCATGCGGCACCTCCCAGAACCAACCTTTGCTTAGGCAATGAAGCCATAGTAATGTCCAGATAAGGTATGGCAGGCGAGTGTGAGATCTGTCAAGGTCTCACAGCTAATAATCTTCCAGGCTGCAATCAGAGTTGTAACTTAGTACCCAGTGTGCCTTTCAGGGCCCATATAAAGCAAAAGGCTACTGCCCACAATTAGGGACCTGTATTGCAAACCAAATGATTGATGGACAGACTAAGGGTCAGACTCATTAAACATCAAACCACAGCAGAGGACACCAAAGAATAAATCAGTAGTAATTAAATGGATTCCATTATAACTATAAAAAAGATTTGCCTCTATTCTAAAATGTTAATGGGTCTGTTTGTGTTCTGAGATGGGGGTCGCTTGTAGCCTAAGTTGGCCTCTACCTTCCTCCTATACAGCTAGGGATAACACTGACCACCTGATCCTCCTGCCTCCTCAGTGTGGGATTTCTGGTGTGTACCACCACACCAGGCATGTGTCAACACATCCAGACTGACATTCAAAAATATTAAAAGTCCATCTTGAGGTTTCAGAGCAGTAAGTGGTTAAAAATAGCCTTTAGCTTAATCTTATTTTTACTTACTTGGCCAAAAAAGATACGATCAATTATCAGAGACAAACTGAAGATTATAAATCTGAAAAACAAAGTGGAATGGTTACTCACATTTGAGCCTGCTGGGTTCCACTCCAATGCCTTGTACAAACACCACTTTAAAAATGCTTTACAAGTTCACGAACTATAGCTTCATACACTTTGAAAGCTCTATCCCTGGTGAGAAGATGCATTTAAGCAAACCACTCACTATTTTATCTATTCTGGGATAATCAACCTGTCAACATAAAAATATGAAAACTTATTATTTCAAAGTTCCTGGGGTTCCAAATGTAATCGGCTCCAAGTATGTTACAAGATCAGCTTCCCAGATCAGCTGCTGGCAGCTTCTTTGTCATCGTGCTTCTAAGACTGGACTGTCTTCCTGTGTGTGTGCTACAGTTCATTTACAATGCTGTTTGTGTAACTGTCTGTCACGCTGCTTTTGTTCTGTTATTCAGAACAGTGTAGCTACAGACAGTGTCATAGTTCCCATCAGTTGTCAACTTGTCTCATCTGAGAGAACCATAAATGGGGAACTGTCCCCATCACATTGTCCTGTGGCATTTTCTTAACTGTTAACTGATGTTGTAGTGCCCAGCCCACTGTGGGTGGAGTCATCCTTGAGCCCATAGGCCTAGGCTGTGTAAGAAAGGTAGGTGAGCAAGCTCCCGGAAGCAAGCTGGTAGGCAGCGTTCCTCCAGTCTGCCTTGGCTTCCCTGGGTGGTGGACTATAATTGGCTATCTGTAATCAACCCTCTCTTCCCCAAGTTGTTTTTGGTCAGTGTTTATCACAGCAATAGAAAGCTAACAAAGAGACTCGGTCATATAACTTTGTTTTGTTTGTCTTGTTTTTCGAGACAAGGTAGCTGTCCTGGAACTCTTTCTGTAGACCAGACTGGCCTTAAACTCAGGGATCCATCTGACTCTGCCTTCTGAGTGCTGGGATGAAAGGTGTGTTCCACCATGGGGCTAGAGAGACGGTTCAGAGGTTAAGAGCACTGGCTGCTCTTCCAAAGGACCCGAGTTCAATTCCCAGCAACCACATGGTGTGGCTCATGACCATCTATAATGAGATCTGGTGTCCTCTTCTGGTGTGCAGACATACATGGAGGCAGAATGTTGTGTGTGTGTGTGTGTGTGTGTGTGTATGTGTGTGTGTGTGTGTGTGTATTAAATAAACGAAATCTTTAAAAAAAAAAGATGCATGCCATCATACCCTGCAAGATGAATACCTTTATGTTTAGTATGTTTAGTGGCCATCTGGATTTTATTTTTAGGTTTATTTATGAGTATGAGTATTCTGGTATTCTGTGTGCTTGTATGTATGTGCATCATGCATGTGGCTTACGCCCTCAGAGGTTAAAAATGGGTGTTGGATCCCCTGGAACTTAACTTGTGCATAGTTGTGAGTCACCATGTAGGTGCTGGGATCTGAACCTGGGTCTTCTGCAGGAGCAACAGGTGCTTTTTAACCACTGAGACTCCAGCTCCCAACATGGATATTTAAGTAACTGATAGGGTCTTTTATCATTTGTTTCCAGTTACCATTTTCTTCTAGTTTTCCATGTTTTATGTCCTCTGGAGATGAGGTTTGATTGCTCATATGTATTGTAGATGCCAGTTAGTCTGTAGCTTGCCCTTCCACCTTCTGCCCTTAACTTTTGTTTTTGTTTTGTGCAGCTCTGGGGTCCACGTGTAAGCAGTCTATCATTGAACTCTGCCTCCATCACAAAGGTCCTCACTACTCAAATGTATCAAGTTTTCTGTCCTGATTTTCTGTTTGTGGATCCTATTTCCCACTGCTCTGAGTGTTTTTTTTTTTTTTTTTTTTTGCATTATTTCTAAGTCACCTTAGTCATTGTATATCCTCTTAACATTTTCCCTGGGTTTCAGCTACTCAGAAGCGGAGGCAGACAGCAACCCCATGCTCTGTTGGCCAAGGTGCACTCACTGGCTTGGAAGATAGTTTGGATAGTCTACTGGATGCTGTATGTACCAGGTGTCATATCAGGGTGCTCAATACTGTTTAACAGTTCCCGGCTCACTAGCTTTGCTAATTTTAAATTTCTCCATGCTTCTGTTTACTATAAAAAAGAATGCTAGCGTCACTTACATCAAAGAACATCGTGAGACCATATGAGAAAAACTGTTATAATGTCCTTAATAAATAGAAAAATTTAGGAAATGAAAGTTGAAATTCTAAGAAATAGAAACCTTTGTTTAACTGAAATACAATACAGTTAATCAGTCCCATAAATCTAAAATGGGACACTGGGCCAACGAGATAGCTCAGTGGGTAAAGGTATTGGACACAAAAGCCTGATGGAGAGAACCACAGCCACAAGAGTACCCTGACCTCCACGTACGTACGCCTTTCAGCACACTAGTGTTTGGAAAACAGAAAACACAGAGTTGGAAGTTCCCTGTGGCGTTACATAGAGCAATTAGCTGAAGGATATAAAACCTGCCCCACAATCTGTCATTTACAGGTTAACAGACGAATAGACGGGACCACAGCCAGACTTACCCTACAGGTAAAAGGTGATACAGGATCAGATGGACCTTTCTCTGTTCTTGGTAGAAATGTCTGAAGAGTAGTGGCACCCATGGGATGAGAGCTGTGGGGCGGACTATGCAAGCCAGTGCGACCAGGAGAGAGTACTTCACACTAGGAGCAAGGAAAGGTAAGGTTGTTACAGGAAACTGGGAGACCGAGCTTCAAGTTAGTCAGCTATTTCCACTGTGAGAGAACTTCAGTTTGGGGGCTTCTGAGACAGGGTCTTATTATATAGCTCAAGCTTATTCCATACTCTGAACCCTCCTTCCTCCTCCTCCTCCTTTGTTTTGTTGTTGAGAAAGGGTTTCCTCTGTGTAATAGCCCTGGCTGCCCTGGAACTCGATTTATAGACCAGGCTGACCTCCAACTCACTGAGATCTGCCTGCCTCTGCCTACCAAATGCCGGCCAGATTCTTCTTAATACTAATTGTATGTGTTATAAAATCTTCGTAATACTAATATATGCTATAAAATCCACTTAACTTTAATGCTGTTGACAAAAAAATAATAAATATTCTCCTACGCAGTTATGTCAAAAAATACACAAATCCTATCTCTAAGAGGAAAATGCAGCAGGGCAGTGTGGCACATGCCTTTAATTCCAGCAGCACTTGGGAGGCAGAGACAGATGAATCTCTGTGAGTTCAAGGCCAGCCTGGTTTACAGACCAAGTTCTAGGATACCCAAGCTGTCTTGAAAAATACCAAAAAAGAAAAGAAAATGCAGACTTTTAAGGAAATACCATTATTTATTCAGTGATGGCCTTGTGAATAAATATGACTTGTCCTTGTAGAGCAGAGACACAGACTAATGGAAGAGCTTTCCAGGTCCTGGGTCTGACTCCTAGCACCACTCACAAGAAGGTTTTTTTTTCTTTTTTCAAAATTAAGTAAATTCTACTTGCCTGAAAGACACACACAGATAAGTACACACAGAAGGGTGCGTGTAATTACTGATGTGTGAGTGAAGACTGAGAAAGAGTTCAGATCATGAGTTCAAGGTGAGGCTGAGCAAGGTGAGTCTTCAAGTGTTGGGATTATAGACATGAACCACCATGCCCAGGCAATTTTTGTTAGTTTGTTTGTTATGTAGCACAGGCTGGCTTCAAACTTGCTATCTAGAAGATGCTGACTGTAACCCCTGATCCTCCTGTCTCTGCCTTCCAGTGTTGGCATTCCAAAAGTAAGTGACCATTGTGTCCAGATAAGGTCAATGCTGTTAAACCTACCCAGAGTTTCTCAGACTGGATGTGACATACAGGAAAGTTGGTGGTGAGACCACAAGTGGAAAGGGCCTAGCTAGGTGTCATCATGGGAAAAGAGACTAAAACAGGGTGGAGACCTCAGGCTACAAGCACAACGAAACAGCCCATTCCTTCAAGTTGTTGTGGAATCTACATCTCCCAATTATCTTACATGACTGAAATATCCTAATTCTCTCCCAGGCTCAGGACACCAAGATGTCCTCAAGACTGAGAGGCCATTTTCTGTATCATTACTTCCTTACTTACTGTAGCCTCCATCATATTTACAGCAACCCAAATCTAATGCAGAAACAATGTTAGCAGAGCATGGTGGCAACACATGCCTTTAGTCCCAGCACTTAAAAGGTAAGTAAAGGCAAGCTGCTCTCAGAGTTCGAAGCCAGCTGGTCTACACAGTGAGCTTCAGGATAGCCAGCACTACAAAGTGAGGCTGTATCTTTAAATAATAAATAAATAAATAAAATAATCTTTGTGCAAGACCGAAGCCTATCTCTCTCAGTACTTTTTTTTTTTTTTTTTTTTTGAGGCAGGCTTTCTATGTAGCCTTGGCTCCTGGAACTTGCTATTTAGATGAAGCTAGATTCAAACCCAGAGATCTGTCTACTTATGCCTCCTTAAGTGCTGGGACTAAAGGCGTGTGCCAGGATACCCAGCTTTTAGTACATGCTTTTGAGATCATGTTTGCCTCTGGTGATTTTGTATTATGTGTAGACTAAAACCCAAGGTATGGAGCCGGGCCAGGTCCCATCTCAGCTTCATCCTTGCTTGCTCCTCCCTACCACCCACTTGCTCCCCACAACACCTGCCTAGCACCTGCAGCTCTCTGAGCTCCGTGCTTTGCTCAGACATTTCTCTCTGCTCTCTCTGCTGGGTTTTTTCTTGCCCTTCAGATCTTTTGACCCTCACCCATGCTGGTGAGCGGACCTGCAGGAGCATTCAGCCTGTCTTGCTTCTGATGGCTTTAGGGAACTGGAAGGCAGTCACAGTATGAGTGGGTTACTTATTCTCCTGGCTGACTCCTTGCCATTGCTAAAGGCTAGCTATGCCTGTCCCCCATGGGGACCTGCAAGTAGAGCTTTATAAGGACCCCAGTACTCTTTCCTCTTGTCCCTTGGAGCCCACTGATACTTCAGTGAGCTCTGGTCACCCCAGGACATCCTAAGCACTGTCTACACTTTGTAACCAGCCCTTTGACTAGCTTTAGCATGAGGTGCGACTGTTTTCTGTTTCCCGTTACACTTATCAAAAACCTTTGGTTCTTCTAAGTCCCATGTTAATACTGAGGGGTTTTCTTTTTCTTTCTTTTTTTTCTTTTTTGTTTTTCAAGACAGGGTTTCTCTGTGTATCCCTGGATGTCCTGGAACTAGGTTTGTAGACCAGGATGGCCTCGAACTCACAGAGATCCTCCTGCCTCTGCCCCCTGAGTGCTAGGGTTAAAGGTAAGCACCACCACCACCACCCAGCTCTGAGGATTTTTCAAAAGCACATCTTAGAGCTTTGTCTGGACTTACTAGCCATCTTACCTGTTCATGGACCTTGAGCCTTCCAGTGGGTAGTAGAAAAGGGCAGTTGCAGTGAGGGCAGTCTCCATGGTGTTCGTGAGGGTTCGGGTACAGCAGTACCACGTGAACCAAGAGCACAGCTGGCAAAAAAACTAAGAACTCAGGAGTGAGTACAGCTGCAGTAGGGAATGGGATGCTAAGTGTTATCTTCTGCAGAAAGCATGAGCCCAGATGCTGCAGAAGCTACTTCAAAAGGGACATGTCTGGAAAGTAGGCATGGCCAAGCGCTGTTCTTAACCAGTGCCACAGGGCTCTGACAGCAGATTTGCATTTCTTAATGCTAACTCAGTGCTTCTGAGTGCCTTTTGATGGTTTGCATCTGACCTAACTCCTACTTCCTGTTAATGAACCTGACACACAGACATGTGTGGAGGTCTCAGAGTAATGACACTCCTCACTAGATCAGCCAGCCAGCCGGTGCTCCGCCTCCTACCTCACAGTGGCCGGACTTAAGCATCTATTCATATTGCTTTGGAAATGCTGTCCCATTCTTCCTCCTCTTCTGTGTGTGTGCATATATGTATATAAATATATGTATTATATATCTGATATAAATACATATACATACACACACACAGAATTTTGCTATATAGTGAAGGCTGACCAGGAAGTTGCTTTGAACCAGTTAGCATCTGACCCCCATATTTCTTTTTTGGGCTTCATAATTCAAGGCCAGATGTCCTTTGCCCTGGCTCCCATATTTCTTGGTGAAAAATTAAGAGAAGAGAGTAAAACAACAGTATCATGAGGCATTAAATTTCAATTTGTTTCCCTGAAGAACATGGAAACCAAAGTATCAGAAGTATCAAAACCAGCCTTAGAAGAACTCCTTGTTAAAGCAACACATGTTCTTCCTATCTGTCTTAAAAGGCCTTTATATAACAACAGCAACAACAAAAAATCCCCAAACCCACAACCAGGCAGTGCAGTGCATACCTGTAATCCCAGCACTTGGGAAGCAGAGGCGGGTGGATGTCTGTGAGTTCAAGACCAGCCTGGTGTACAACTTGTGTTTCAGGATAGCCAGGCCTGTTAACACAGAGAAACCCTTTCTTGAAAAACCAAAAAAAAAAAAAAAAAAAAAAGATTCCAATTTCCATGATGGAAAAGGATTTTCCTTAAGGAGAACTCAGAGGGGAGATCTCAGAGGTGGGCTGGGACCTTTGCTATCATTTCACGTGTGCCTTTGGTAGTGTATATAAAACAAAAACAAAACAGACCAAAGGGCTAAGAGCACTTACTCCTCTATTAGAGGACAGGAGTTAAGGTCCTAGTACCCCTGGCAGGCGGCTCACAAATACAGGTAACTTCAGCTGCAGGGGATCCCATGCCCTCCTCTGGCCTAGGCACCACATACAGACACAAAATAAAACACTATTTATTTATTTATTTATTTATTTATTTATTTATTTATTTTGGTTTTCTCTGTGGCTTTGGAGCCTGTCCTGGAACTAGCTCTTGTAGACCAGGCTGGTCTTGAACTCACTGAGATCCACCTGCCTCTGCCTCCTGAGCACTGGGATAAAAGGCGTGCACCACCACCTGGCTAATAAAACACATCTTAAAATGTAAAGAACATAATGTCTGGACAAGTATGGCCTTTCTACAGGTTTCTAATACATCATAGTACAGAAATGTATTGGTGAATGGGAAGCTCGGTATTTAAAATGTATTTTCTGATAGAAATAAAATTAGTAGTTCAGTACAAGGTTCATCAAGGCAGAGTCAAATAAGGAAACAGTGGTACTACACAATCCTTTCACCCACCGGGGTGTAGTCTGACTGGGAGATGCAAGCATTAATGACCCATCTTGAAATAAACCAGTGGCGAACGAATGCCTTTAATCCCAGCACTTGGGAGGCAGAGGCAGGAAGGTCTCTGTGAATTTGAGCCCAGCCTGGTCTACAAAGTGAGTTCCAGGACAGCCAGGGCTATGTAGAGAGACCCTGTCTCAAAAACAAAAACAAAAACAAAAAAATAATAACTAACTAACTAAACAAAAACCCCCATAAGAAATAAGATGCTTTTCCAGGCCATGCCGCCCCCCCCCCCACACACACACACAAGTCCAGTCCCTTTAGGCTCTCCAGCTAGGGCTTGTGCTCCAGTGCAAAGAGCTTTTTCTCAGCCAATCCTCGGCTGGGGATGGACAGTGGACACAAGCTGAGGACTCTGACAGCTTAGAGGTCCAAGCGCTTCCATAGCTGGCTTCTGGGGTTCAGCCTGTCCCATGTGGGGCTCAGTATGGGAGAATTTCCAGGAGGTTCCATGGACCAGCTGTTTTAGGAGCCATTCACCCCACACCTGCTCTGTATCAAATGGCGTCTAAAGTGTTTGAACTTACCACCCATTGTGCCACTTCCTGGTTTCCCACTTGCTTCATGAGCGAGTAAAGTCTTACATCAGCGACAGCAGAGAGAAGAGCTTGGGCCAGTCTGGGAATCCAGATCTTCAGTAGTTAAAAAGAAAAAGGGTTGTTAGGCACATCATCTGGGTTCATACTGAACTACCATAAAAATAAAAACCTAACCATCAACGGAAAGCCACCTTTCCAACTCCATGTTCATTCATACGCCTGTGGCGTGTGCTTAGCTTGCTGCCTCTTGCTTGCAACCAGCCCTCCCCATTCCCCGTCTTTTGGAAAGCCTTTGCTGTGTAGCCCAGCTGGCCTTGTCTTTTGCTTTTCCTGCCTTAGCACCCCCAAGTATTGGGATTTATAAATGTGAAGCACCATACACCATTTACCCATTTTCTATTTATGTATATCTTACAACACTGATTATCTTTCGTAATAGTTGGTATTGAGCCTAGGGCCACATGCATGTTAGCTAAATGCTCTACCACTGAGCTCCTCCTGGACAGCGTGCAAACTGTTCTATTGTATTAAGATTCTATTTTAGAAGCATATTTATTTTCATGAGCACATAGTAGGTTTTGTTTTTAAGTCAAGCATTTATAGTACCGTGTGCTGGGCATCATAGCAAGTATTTTACATGTATCAGATCATTCCTTACAATGCTGAGGCAGGAACTGTCTAATACATGAAGAGACCTAGGCACAGAGAGGCTAGGTGATGTGCCTAAATTATAGAGCTTGTTAGCATCAATGCCTGGATCCAGACTAAGTTATGGGTAATACCACAGCCTGTGCTCATAACAATAAAGTTTTAAAACCCAGGGCTGAAGAGATGACTGGTGGTTAAGAGTACTTGCTGCTTTCAGAGGACCCAGGTTCAGTTCCTAGCACCCAGGTCAGGCAGCTCACAGCTGCCTCTAGCTCCAGATCATCTGAACTTTCTTCTGGCCTCCAGCACCAACATTAGCATGTGCCAAGCACAAATGAATACATGAGTAGGGTTTTTCAGGGTGGAGCACAATCCAGGGTTAATCTTGTGTCTACCTCCTCAGAGATGAAGTCACAGGTATTTGCAGGGCCACTTAGCCTCTTTTATAGGTACTGAGACCTGACATCTGGTCTTCATGCAAACTCTCCAGCAACTCATTTTATCTTTTTATGTAAACTTTTATTTTCTTTTTAAATCATATTGTCTTTAGTGCAGTGGGCTTCCCAGATAAGGCTGGGCTTTAGCAGCAACAGCCTTTTACTTTGTAATACTAGGACAGTCATTTAGTTATTACCAATGAAGTTTTGAAAAAGGAATACATCTGGATTTAACAATTTTGGTCACGTTAATTTGAACTTACCAGTAACTGAACACTGTCTTTCCCCAAAAGGTGCAGAATCTTGTAAATGCTTGCAAAGATGAGGGGGTAAGTATAACCCCTCAGCCTCTCAGTCCATTCCCAGGTCAGATAACCATATTTGCTAATATCAAGGACCAAGTGTCAAATAGTACTGAAACAAATTAAACTTCCATATATAAAGCAATATTTTATTTTTTGATAATGAAGTTTTAAAACATAGGGTTTTTTTTTTTTTTTTTTTTTGGTGATAGTAGGAATTCAGTCTCCAGCCTTGGATATGCTAGGCAGGTAATGTACCACTAAGCTGCACCCTAACCTTAAAACATGGGATTTTATATTGAATATTTGGTTAACTTAAGTCTTAATTTCCTCAAGTTAGAAATGTGTTTCTCCAGCCATGGTGGTGCACACCTTTAATCCCAGCACTCAGGAGGCTGAGGCAGGTGGATCTCTTCGAGTTTGAGGCCAGCCTGGTCTACAGAGCAAGTTCTTGGACAGCCAGGACTACACAGAGAAACCCTGACTCCAAAACCACATAAACAAAAAACAAGAAAGGAAGAAAGAAACCATAAAGGATATCTGAAAACCATGTGGTGTGCAACTTCAAGAGACTGCCAGTATTCATCAGGAACAAAACTTGTCTGCACTAGGAAGCAGTTAAATATCCGAAGAGCGATGGTAAATAAGACCAGGTAAACATTTTCTCCAAGAAGACCTGAAAAGCAAATCAAAGCAGTAATTATGGCATTCAAAACAAGCAGTTCTTCCTTTAGATATACAACTGTGACGTCACTGGCTCTGGCTCTGCTGTTAAGGACCTCCAGACCACTTCACAAAAGACATCTAGCTCAGGGTTGGATTCTTGCTTGCTGGAAGCCCAGAGTGTGTTCCCTAGCAATGTGTGGGGAAGAGGTGACAACCCACAAACTCCATCACCATCACCACCACACACACACACACACACACACACACACACGCGCACACACGCACGCACACACGCACATTAACCACTGGTGGTCCCTGCTCCCACTGTTAACTATTGGTGATTCCTCTCTGAACCTCTGTTATACATGTGAGGAAGCTAAGGATCAGAAACTAAACTGCTTTGCCCAAAATGAAAATGCTGGTCTGACGGTGGTGGCACATGCCTTTTATTCCAGTACTCGGGAAGCAAAAGCAGGATCTCTGTGAGTTCATGTCCAGCCTGGTCCACTTAGTGAATTCCAGGACAACTAGGACTATTAAAGAGAAACCCTGTCTTGAAAAACCAACCAACCATCCAACCAACCAATCAAATGCTGTTACTGAGTAGGTAGTATTCAAACCCAGGCAGGCCGGCCAGCCACCTCCAAAATTCGCTTTTTCTCAGTGGTCAGGCAGCCTGCGTGCTGAATACTGAGTGTTTTCTGAAACTCTAGCTGTAAGCCGTGACTGCGGCAGGGGTCAGATTTTATGTTAAAATCTGTTGAGCCATGTGTGATTGTGTCATCACCACAAAGCAATGGGGAGACTGAGGCAGGAGGACTGAGGCAAGTTCAAGCACAGCCTGCACCACACAGCAAAGATACTATGCAGAGAGAGCTCGCTTCCACAGCGCGGTGCACTGTCTGCAAAGCCGCAGGTGCCAGGAAGTGCTTTCTGCGAAGCACCCCGCTCTCACCGCGGCGACGAGAGTGCTTCTCCTGCGTGTTCACGTACAGCGTGGACTTCCTCTTCCGCAACTTCATCTCTCCGGAGCGACTGTGGAGACTGCGTAAGGCCGGGCCATGGTCGCCGGCCTCGGGCTCCATCTCCTCCCAGCCACCTGCAGCCCACGGTGAACTTGCCCGCATCTTCTTGCAGGCGGACGCGCAACACTAAGATTGGGTCCCGCGAGCCGCCGTCGTGGGGGCGGCTACAGCACAACCGCAGCCGGAAATGCGGCCGGAAGCGACTGAGGCTCTAGGCAGTGCGAGACGTCACCTACTTGACTGGATCCCGGTCCTGGGGAAGACAGAAGACTGGACTCGCAGCCCGCGAGGAAGCGCGTGGAGGTAACAGAGCGGAGGGAGGCGGTGAAACCGCAGCGCTCACCCCACGTGCCGCGTCCATGCGTGGGAACGGTTCCGTCCAGGTTCTCACAGTGACAGAAAAGAAGTTACACGCCAGTGATTTTTTTTTTTTTTTAAGTAAAGGAAGTTGCTTTTTAAAGATTTACTTCTTATGCATACAGTGTTCTGCCTGCACACCAGAAGAACCGGGTCTCATTGCAGATGGTTGTGAGCCACCATGTGGTTGCTGGGAATTGAACTCAGGACCTCTGGAAGAACAGCCAGTGCTCTTAACCTCTGAGCCCCATGTCAGTAAATTTTTTTTTAAATTATTTTATGTGTAGTGGTGTTTTGTTTGCATATATGTCTTTTAGTTACAGTTGTGAGCTGCCATATGAGTGCTGGGAATTGAACCCGGATCCACCTCTCCAGCCCCCGCCAATGAATTTTTATTTCTAATCTGTTCTTCTGACACCCAGGGGATTTCTTTATTCCGAATTACTTTCTCATCAATTTTTTTTCTTGAGTTGATATCACTATGTAGATATCCTCCTGTCTGCCTCATGAGTGCTGGGGTTTAATTCGTGCACTACCACACTCGGCCTCATCTATTTATCTTGGTGACTGGATGTCACTGGCTGGCCTGGAACTCTGTATGTAGACCAGGCTGGTCTCAAACTCACAATACCCTCACGAGTATTGGGATCAAAGGCGTGTGTCACCATGGCATGGTGGGGGCGGCTGGAGAAATGGCTTAAAAGCACTGACTGCACTTGCAGAGTTCCCTGGTTTGATTCCCAGTAACCACACACTGGCTTCGTGCCTCCCAGGGCGCCAGGCATGCATGCCGTTGCAGATACATACATGAAAATGAATACTTATGCACATAAAATAAAAATAAATCTTTTAAAAATGTGTTGGTAGAAACATTAAATCATGAGTTCCAGTAAGTGGGGACATCTGCTTCAGGCCGCAGATGACCTCTGCTAACATTCTTAGCTTTTGGGTTGGTAGAAGGGAGAGGCCTGTTATTGCATCTCAGGTTTTTAGCTGATAGTTGTAAAAGATGTTTGGTCACATACAGATGGCTAAAAAGGGACTATTTAGGGGGCTAAAGATAGCTTGAGGTGATTTGGCTTGGGACCTGCAACATCACCAGTAACATTGCCACATAGTCACTGAAGTTCTAATTGTTTAGTTTGTCTTTTAGAATGTTTGACAAAAGTGTTTTGTTTTTGTTTGTCCGGGAAACTAAAGTTCATGAAACCCAAGGTTTGTTTTTTTGTTTTGTTTTGTTTCTTTCTTTCTCTTTTTATTTATTTATTTATTTTTGGGTTTTCAAGACAGGGTTTCTCTGTGTAGCTTTGGAGCCTGTCCTGGAACTTACTCTGTAGACCATTCTGGCCTTGAACTCACTGAGATCCACCTGCCTCTGCCTTCTGAGTGCTGGGATTAAAGGTATGTGCCACCACCACCTGGCAAAACCCAAGGTTCTATTACATTTTTCAAAATGGTGGGGGTAAGTGGCTACTGAATAACAGGTCCAAAAGACTCAGATTTAACAGCAACAACAAAACCGCTACATGAGAAATAGTTTCAAATGGCCTCTGGCTTTTGTACCTTGTTTGTTTGTTTGTTTTTAAACTCTTTATTTGGACCAAAGCAAGATTGGTAAAATTGTCATTTGTGTGGTCAACTCTATAACTAGGAGAGAACACGCTTTCCCTTTCCTGGCATGATTAAGTTGCATTTGAGAGCTCTTATAATAATTATAATTTGTAACCTGCGGCCTGGATTAAGAATCCATGCCACAATTCAGAAAGTGTGTACTCCTTCACTCTGCTTTTCTCATTTACTGACATCTCTCCGAGGTGATTAACAGGCAGCACTTTTCTCTAGAAGGTGCTATGCCCATTTGTGAGGTTCCATTATTTTCAGTTGTTGGAACTAGAAGCAAAGTCTCCATTGTGTTTTTCTCCAAAAAGGCACACAAATGATTTGCCTTTGTTGTCTCCTAAAATACCAAAAGGAACTCAACAAAGTTTTGTTGTTTTGGTTTTGCTTTGCTTTTTTGACATATGGTTCTGCTGTGTAGCCTTGGCTGGCTTGGAACTCACTATGTAAACCAGACTGGCCTCAGACTCACAGATCTCTGCCCACCCCCAACCTCAACCCCATAGTGCTGGGATTAAAGGCAGGGCACCACCACTCCTGGCTCAATAAAGTTTTACAGCCTCTTAAAATTGTTTTTGTCATAAAGCTTGCTAAAAAATTATGGCTACTGCAGAAGGAATAATGACAAGTCATTTGTCACCTCCCTTTATTATTCTTTAGATACAGTTTAAACTGAGACAGTCACATCTGACTTCCCTTCAGGTATCTTTTGGAGTGAAAAGTTTTGTATGACTTGAAAGGTGGTTGCCATCCCTTCCCATCCTTTTGCCATTTTAGAAGACTAACATGGCTGTTAGTGACATAAGCCTGTCATTCTATCACTTGAGAGGTGAAGGGATAATTATAATCTCTAGAGCAGCCTCCCTATCTCAAAGAACCAGAACAAACAGACCAACAAAGACAGAAAATAACTCAGTGGGAACATTCTGTATAAAAGAGTATTTAGCTTTGTCTCACACTACCGTTGACCTTCATTCCCTATGTGTTCCTTTTTAAGGTTTGTTTGAAACCTGTTACTGTGGCCAGACTGGCCTCAAACTGGCAATGTAGACTGGCAATCCTCTTGGCTGCACCTGAGTTTTGGGAATATGGATATGAACTACAATGCCTGGAAGAAATGCAAATTTTAATATATGATTTTTTTTAACTATTGGCAACTAAATTGAAATTTTAGAAAATATTCCATAGTGAGTCTATATCCTGCAAACCCCTATGTATTTATTACTTAGTGATTCTTTTTTGTTTGGTTGGTTTTGGTTTTCTTCAAGATAGAGCTTCTCTGTGTATCTGTCTGTCTAGGAATTCATTCTGTAGACCAAGCTAGCCTTGAACTCAGAGATCCACCTGCCTCTGCCTCCCAAGTTCTGGGATTCACAACATTCACACCACAGCAAAGTCATAATAAATCTTGTAAAGGGCAGTTGTGGGGCTGGAGACATGGCCCAGGGTTAAGAGTGATACTACTCTCCTAGAGGACCACAGTTCAGTTCCCTGTGCCTGTGTTGGACAGGTTACAACCACCTGTAACTTCTGTTCCTGTGCTAAATGGTCCCTCTTTTGTCCCCTTTTCTCTGGAGACAGATCTGCAGAGATTTGCCATCCGTGGAGCGAAACCACCCTCAGACTGTGCGCTACTCGTTGCAGCAATGCTCAGGAGACTGACTCTTCCACAACTGCTCTTTGGTGCAGTCCTCGGGATTGCCGGAGGGATTTATATTTATCAGCCAATACTTGAACAATATTCCAGAGATCAGAAGGAATTAAAAGGAAAGGTGAAATTGTTGCAAGAGTCAGAAGAAAAGAGGAACTAATTCTGCGTGGAGTGAAATTGTAGGCATTGCTTACAATTTGTTCCATTGAAATGGCACATGGACTATTAATCTAGTAAACATTAGGTACATTTTAAATAAATAAATCATGGGTCATTTACTATTTATTTATTTTTGGTTTTGGAGACAGGGTTTCTCTGTGTAGCTCTGGCTGTCCTGGAGCTCACTCTGTAGACCAAGCTGGCCTCAGATTCACTTGCCTCTGCCTCCCAAGTACTGGAATTACAGGTGTGAGCAACCACTGCCAGGCAATTTAAAGTTATTTATAACATTAGTTCTTTGTTGGTTTGTTTCAGGGTAAGATCTCACTATGTAGCACTATGTAGCACAAGCTCTAAGTAGTTCAGCCTCAGCTTTCCAAATGCTTGGATTATAGGGGTTCTGACATTTGTTTTCTTGATAGGCTCTCTGTGTGTAGCTCAGGCTGGCCTCAAACATGCAATCCTGCCACTGGTGCTGGGGTTACAGAGTATCACCACACCTAACTACAATAAGATGCTTCATTTAAAAAATATTTCTTTCCAGTTATATATAATTATATGAGCTCCACATGGGTTATGCATACACAAGTGCAAGTACCTCTGGGGGCCAAAGTTGTTGAATATCTTAGAGCTGGGGTCACAGATGGCTGTGAGCTACCATGTGGGTCCTCCTGGGAATTTAATCTCAGTCCTCTGTAGGAATGAGTGTACTCTTAACTGCTGAGCCATCTCTCCAATCCCAAGATGTTTCACATTAATGTTCATTTACTTATTTGCTATTTTATATCATATCAGGACAAGGCAGCAATTTCTATAGCATAAATTTAGTCAGTATGCTTAATAGTTTAGTGTGTGCTTTTAAGATTCCCCTTTTCTGGCTGCTCTTTCAGAGGTCCTGACTTCAATTCCCAGCACACAATTGGTGGCTCACAACCATCTATTAACTGCAGTCCCATGGGATCCATGACCTCTTCTGGTGGGCAGATAGGTGTACATGCAGACAAAACATTCATATAAATTTTTCTTAAAGATTTATTTATTTACTATGTATACGGTGTTCTGCCTGCAGGCCAGAAGAGGGCACCAGCTCTTATTGTAGAAGGAAGAGCAGCCAGAGCTCTTAACTGCTGAGCCATCTCTCCAGCTCCCATAAATCCTTTTTTAGTTCCCCCGTTCTTGGACAATACAACCACACAAATGTGAGGGTTTTGCCTGTTACATTTTTCCAGTTGTGGAGACTGAATCCCGGGCTTCCTGGTGCTGGCGCTGTGTAAGTGTTCTGCCACTGATCTATACTCCCAACTGACCTATGCGTCCCAGTTAGAGATGGTTGTGAGCTGCCATGTGGATGCTGGCAACCTAACCTCCATCCTCTGGAGGAGCAGCAGCAAGTGCTCTTAACCACTGAGCCATCTTTCAAGCCTCTGCTTTTTAAACTTCAAGTGTCACTAAGTTTCCCAGGCTCACATTGAATTCACCCAGTATCCCACAAATCCAAATGGCTTCAATTTGTGATTATCCTTCCTTAATTTCTAGAGTAGCTGGAGCTATAAGCCTGTGCTGTTAGGGTTGCTTCCCCCCCCCCCCTTTGTGATATAATCCAGGATGGCCTTAAACTCACCATGTAGCTCAGGTGGGTTTGTGTACCACCATGGCTAGTTTGAAATGTCTAATCCAGGTATCAAGGTTCTACTTGACAGAAGCTCTGGGCATTAAGCCAAATGAAACCACTTTTGGCCTTCATTTGTAAGGCCTGGGTTGATAGAGTGTTTGCCCAGCCCTGGGTTTCATGCCCTGCACCTCACACTAGGTGTGGTGATGCAGTTTCGTAGTCCCAGCACTCAGGTGGAAACAGGAGAGCCACAAGTTCAAGGTCATCCTCAGCTACATAGGAAGCTGAGGCCAGCCTGGGTTCTGCTATTTTGCTTCCAGGCCCATCTTTCCTTTTGGAATCCCTTTCCTTCACCCCTTTTTCATATTCACATCATGTTCCTTGATTTTGTGGGTTGGTTGGTTGTTTGTTGGAGACAGGGTTTCTTTGTATTATTTTGGAGCCTGACTGGAACTCACTCTGTAGACCAGGCTGGCCTTGAACTCACAGAGGTTCACCTGCTTCTGCCTTCCGAGTGCTGGGATTAAAGGAGTGTACCACTACCACCCAGCTAATATGGTGATATTTTTATGTGTTCAAATGCTTAATTATTTTTGTGCTGCCCACAATGGCTTCAGACCCTTCAATCAAGTGATAGTCCTGTTTGGGCCCCTCCTCTCAGGTTCCCTCCTCAGTGGCTGGGATGCAAACATCTTGCACTCTGTCTATCTCCCAATGACATCCTTTACTTTCCTTGTTGAAACCCTTACTGGATGTTACTGGAGTTTCCTACTTAAGCATCTGTCTTACAAGTAAGTTCTGGGGGCCAGGAGCAATTTAACCTATTTCATTGTTGCATCCTATGTGCCTAAAAGTGCCTTACTCATTGAAAGCATCCTCAGGTGATGAATATACAGTCTGTCTACACCCCGAGACTTGGCTGCTGAAGTGGAGAACACTGAAGGTGGGTGCTCCACCTGGATCATACCAACCATCAGCAGTCACTGTGTTGTTTCCTAATATAGTTCACATATTCTCCCCCCCCCAAAGGTTTATGTGTGGGAAGTTTGGCCCACACATATTGATGTGTGATGGTATTGAAAGATGGTAGCTCCTTAAGAGCTAGTTTCTGAAGGAAGATGATAACCTGGCTTTTTCTGGGGTGTGGTGATATCTTGCTTGTACAAATAAAGCCTGTCTGAAGGTCAGAGATTGGAGCTTGCCACTAGCTAACTATAGAGGTCTGGAGGTATTTCTGTTCACCCCAGATGAGAGGAAAATATAGAATCTGTTCAGGTCCGGCTTGGTGAAGCCAGTGAGTTTATTGGGGTTACTTACAGAAGCATGGATGGTTCCAGGAGGTCTACCCGCAGAAGGCTCCTTGGACATTGACCGCACTGTGATTCAGTCCCAGCACATTGTAAATAATGGGCCAACAACATTATATCAAATACAGAGTTTCTATGTATTATTTGGGGCTGGCGCGGTGGTGGGACCAGACCCGGCGGCGGGTGGAAAAACCGTACTTGTTACACATTGGAGGGGTGACGGGCGGGCAGTGGGTGGGACAGCTGGAGTTTGTGGTGGGAGGCCACCAGGATGGACAGCTACATGGGCAGAAGCTGAACTCAGGCTTGCCAGCATTTGCTTGTCTTGGATATGGGATTCTGAAAGCACAAGGGGCAGACCCAAAGGCCAGTGTAGAGAACTCTGAGCCACCTTTGAATGGGTTTGGCTAATAATCTCACCCCCCCCCCCCCATCAAAATCCAAACTGCTCAAAGGAAACCCTGGGTATCTCGAAGAGGCCGCTGGGAGGCAGCAAAGGTTCACAGGATGCTCCTGATCCTGCCGGTCTTAGTAGGTTATGGCACCCCATAATTTCCCTCATACTGTGTATTAACTGTCCTAACAGTGTTTTAGGAATCCAGGCTGACTATAATCAGAATTATACCTTGTTCGTTTAGACCCCGCTGGCCATTGCCTCCCAGAATGGTGTTAATTTTTTCCTTCCTTTATTCTTACTTTATTTTTCTTGCTGTCACGTCCAGGAACCCTGGCAGGCAATACCCAGGTTGTCACCAGCGAGGATACACAGCCAGAAAAAGGCTTTTAGGACAGATCTCCGGAGTCACCAGGGCACGCCTCCTCTGCCCTAGATCCTCCAGCAGTTTGACCTTTTTGTGAATGGCACTTTGGGTCTCAAAACGAAAACCACTCCCTGTGGTTCCCGCACCTTCCTCAACAGGGCAAGAGGACCTGTTTCAGGCCAGGCGAGGGAGCGGTTGTTTCTGTGGCTGGGGGCCTGTGGGCAGGTGACAGAAGGAGGAGGTGGAGGCCGCGCAGGGCCCGCCCCCGCCGCGCTTTCCTACACGGGAAGTGATGTGGGGCCGGACGGAAAAAAAAAAACCGCCAACCACCCTAAAAAGGCCAGTCGCTTGGGGTCCCAAGCTCCGTTTGGAAGGCAGTCCGAAGAGACTGACCATCACCAGGACGCAATACCGGACCTAGCACTGCAGGGGCGCAACACTCGGGGACAGCACAGAGACAGAGCACCAAACCAGGTGAGCGCAGTGCGTCTTGGGCACTGAAGGTTGAGGGCGATCGAGCTGTCCCTGGGGCGACCAGGGGACAGCAAATCTTTGGACGGGATGCTGGTCCCGTTAAGCTACAGGGGTTAGGGTCCAAGGTTACCCCAAGTGAAATGTAGGTGCCAGAGTCCCCATAAGGAGGTGAGAGTAAAGTCCACTCCACCTCCCTCCTGTTCCCTCATTTCGGTTTTCACTTTAAAGTCTTGAGAGCCCCGCTGCTTGCAGGCGACTAAGGGCTCTCCCTTTTCCTGTCATTCAGAGAACCCAGCCGTTCAGCCAGGTTTTAGAGTCACCCTACCGGGAGGTAGAATTAATACGATGACACATTTTGGTCACTTTGCCAAGGCCGGGTCTCCAGTAGCTGGGTACCGATTTTGAAATCCAGGTCTGAAGTGTAGAAGATCTTAAAAGACACTTCAGCAGCCTCCTGGCCTTTGCACCCTGCGGTTCCCTGGAGTGTCCTCCACAGGCTTCCTTTATAAGCCCCAAGAGCTAACAGCTGTTCTGAGTTAGCTGTTCAACCCAGCTACCTGAGTGAGGCAGGAGGCATTTAAAATCATTTCTTTACAGCTTTCTGGAGAGCGAAAAGAGCACGGGAAAGGTAATCCTGCATCTGGGAGGTGGACAGAGAAAAAGATTCAGGGTTCAAGGTCAGACTCTGCTACATAGAGAACTTGAAGCCAGCCTGGGTTACATGAGACCTGTCTCCAAAAAAATAAATAACATCAGCAAAAGGAAGGGAGGGAGGAAGGAGGAAAGGAAAGGGGGGGGGGGGGAGCATACAGCAATGCTAAACACACCTGAGTGGAATTGCTTTCTGTATTTTCTCTTGGCCTCCCTATCTTCCCTCACTTTCCATAATCTGTCATATTTGTTTATTTCTGACATATTTGTGGGGGGTTGTGAATGTGTGTGGATGGAGGCCCATACATGTGCATGTGGATGACAGAAGTCCATGTTGAGTGTCTTCCTCCATTACTAGCCACTATATATGTAATTAAATATAATATTTATATTATATATTTGTGTTAAATATAAAATGTATCAAATTGACATATAGTAAATATATTTATACTATGATAATGATAATTGAATATTAGATTAAATATATTAATTAAATTTGATTTTTGTTTTTGAGATGGGGTCTTACTGTGTAGACCAGGCTGATCTTGAACTCATAGAGAGCTGCATGCTTCTGCCTCCAGAGTCCTAGGATCAAAGGTCTGACCACCTTACTTTTGTTGAACCAGGTTTCTCATGGAACCTGGAGCTCCTTGTCTGGATTGATTGGCTAGAGAGTCTCAGGGACTCTCCTCTCCCTCCCCAAGTCTTAGAGTCACACACCCGCACCTTCATGCCCAGTGTGGATTCTGGGGACTCTGCCCACTGAGCTGTCTCCCCAGCCATTGTTTTGGTTTTGCTTTTATGAGGCAAGGCCTCACTGCTACACCCAGGCTGGCCTTGAACTGGTGACAGTCCTGCTCCGGCCATGCCCAGCAAGTTGTTTGTCTGAGATCATGAAGACTTGTGCTTATGACTTTTTTTTGTACACCCAGAATTCTTATAGTTTTACTGCTCCATTTCATTCTTTGATTGATTAAATTTAAGTTAATTTTGTGTGTGGTGTGGGGTAGGGGCTGGCATGGCTTTGGGACCAGGCTGGCGGGAAAGTTTTGTAATGGGACATCCAACTTTATCTCCTCAAATGTGGATATTGGATATTCACTTTTGCCAACAGTGTTTGTTGACAAGACTGTTTTGACCCTTTGAATGAGACTGGTACCTCCGTTGAAAATAGATCAAACATAAAGGTGGAGTTTGTGTTTGGATTTGTAGTCTTCTACATACCATGTGCCCATTGTTACAGTGGTGGCACCCTGTCTCGGAGTTTTGAAGTTAGGGCATGAGCGGACTCCAGCTTTGCCCTTCTTTTTGGTAGTTGCCTTTGGCTGTGCAGAATCCCATGTATCTCTGTGTGGAATTTAAGGTCAGCTTCTCAGTTTTATTGCCTTGGCTTTAGAACAAATGTAGGTAATTTGAAGTGGGCAGCAATCTTTGGGAAGCAGACTTTTAACTTCCTTTTGCCTTCCCTATCTTGGTGGATAGATACTTCACTCCTGTAGAAGCTCACACTAAACCCTGGGATTGCCCTCAACTCTCTTCATCCTTTCATGCCCCTTGCCCAACCTGAGCAAATGTTATTGAGTTTACCTTAGTATAACTATTTTTGTTGTTGTTATTACAAACTTTTGAAGTGGATAGAGAAATGGCTCCGCAGTTTAGAGCACATACTGCTCTTCCCAAAGACCCAAGTTTGATTCCCAGTGCCACATCAGGCAGCTCACAACTGCTTCTAACCCCAGTTTCAGAGACTCAAATGCCCTCTCATGCACAAAACCTAAATACACCCCCCCATACACACACATACACACATGCATACAAGTAATTAAAAATAAATAGATAAACTTTATAATTGTTACTGAATCAGATAGGTTAGTGGCTAAGAGGCTTGCTGCTTTTGCAGAGGAACTGGATTTGGTTCCCAGTACCCACATGCAACCCACTAACTGTCAGTAATTCCAATTCCAAGGGACCTGATGCCAACTTCTGACCTCCGCAAGCCCTGCACTCATGTGCTGCATGTACATACATGCAAGCGAAACACATACACATGAAATAAAATCTTTAAAAATATTACATTTGTTTAGCATTTGTGCATGATATGATGCGTATGGAGAACAACTTGTAGGAGTTGGCTATCTCCTTCCACCATGTGAGTCCTAGGAATTTAGCTCAGTTTATACAGCTTGGAGGTGATCACAGAGCTGTACTGCCTACAACTTTTTTTGGGGTGTGTGTGTAATTGAAACAAGGCTCCACTATGTATCCCAGGATAGTGTGGAACCCAGTGTATAGCCCAGGCCTCAGCCTCCTGAGCTCTGGGATTACAGATGTGCCCATGATCACATCTGATACAGTAACCATTTCTCTACTGTTTTCTGCCCATTCCTACTATGCTCTCTAGCTGTATTGCTGCCAAAGCCTCTTAAAGCATTTCTAACCTTGTTATCACCTCTCTATAATCTTCCCTCAACACAGAGGTCACTGGTATACACACACATATGAATGTACATATACATTTAGTCTGCTCAGAATTCTCCTTTTATCCCAAAATGAAAAATTTCTCGTTGAGTGAGGTAGTGGCACATGCCTTTAATCCCAGCACTCTGGAGGCAGAGGCAGGTAGATCTCTGTGAGTTCAAGGTCAGTCTATTCAACAGAGTGAGTTTCAGGACAGTCAGGCTACACAGAGAAATCCTGTCTCAAAAAAAATCCTTATTATTAAGCTCTCAAACCATATGTGCTAACCCTGGAGGGTGGCAGAGTGCTGGCTGAGCAAGGACAAAACCTGAGTTCCATCCCCAGCCCTATACAAGTCTTGAATTTAGGCTGTGGAGGCAGGAGGACCAGAAGTTCAAGGTTATCCTTGGCTACCTAGGGAGTTCCAGGCCAACCTGCAGATCTCACAAAGGATGGAAGGCTGAGTAGTAGGCCTGTATATTTCTCACCATTGTTTCCACCACTCCACACTCTCTTGTGATGGTGGTAGCAGGCATCCCTCTGCGCTGGCACTGGGGAAACTGGGCAGAACGGTTTAGTAGTTGCTTTCCTGTCTTCTGACCTTTTATGTTAGTCTAGGGCAAGAGTGGAGTTCTTGGAAATTTAAGGAAATGGAAATTAATTTCTTCATTAATATTTTGCACTGTAACGAATGGATCCTTCTTGGATTTTAACAAATGCCACCTGGTGGCATTTAATTATGTAACTACTTGCAGTTGTCAACCATTTTTCTGTGTGTTGGCCCATTTCCATGACTCTTCCATTCCTGGGGCTTGAACCCAGGGCCCAGCACATGCTAGGCAAGTGCTCTCCGTTCCCTGAGCCACGCTCTCAGGCCATCCATGACTGGATCCTAACAGCCTGGAGACAGGGCACCACTCTGGCTCACTCTGAGCCTTATTTTATAAGGAGTCAGAGGCAAAACCAAGAGCAAGGCTGTGTCTGACTGTGCACTTGAGTTACTAGGTAAAACTCCAGGACTGTCTACAAGTGGTTCTCACTGAGCCTTCCTAATGTTGCAACCCTTAAATACAGTTCTTCATATTATGGTAATCCCCAACCTTAACATTATTCTCATTTCTACTCCATAACTATAATCTTGCTACTGTTACAAATAGTAATGCAAACATCTGTGTTTTCTGCTGCTCTTAGATGATTCCTGTGAAAGGGTTGTTTGACGCCCCCCCACACACACATCAAAGGGTCCCACCCCACAGATTGAGAACCACTGATCTAGTCTATATTTTTCTTTTTCTATATATTGTTTTAATTTTATGTGCATTGTTTTGCCTATATGTATGCCTGTATGAGGAAATCAGATCTTGGAGTTAGCAGACAGTTGATAACTGCCATATGGGTGCTGGGAATTGAATCCATGTCCTCTGGAAGAGCAGTCAGTCATCTTAACCACTGAGCCATCTCTCACTTTTCTTAGCAAGCATCTTGTTATAGACAACCGTATCCTACTGCTGCCCACTGCCTCCCACTGAATGGGGCTTCCCACTCAGTGAGGAATTGTGAGACTTCCCAGTGAGAATTGAATTAATTCAGCCTATAAAATATGGTAACTAATTTTATGTATCTTATGTTAGGAATTACTTTAACACAGTATGGGGGTATTTATGCACACACACACAATTCATTTCCTGAATACATTAGACTTGAAAGACAGAACAGGACTTGCAGGTTAAAGTCTGAGCCCCTGAGAAGAAAGCCCTCTTGCCAGTGTTAAGGTCTGATTGGTTCTTGAGGAAGCAGCTCCTCCCTTCATGAATTCCTTCTCCCTGCCTCACGAGATTTGCTTGGACTATGTTCCTCCACCTGGTAATCAGGAAATTTGAGTTGATGATCTG